CGAGACTGCTTCCTTCCATCAACATTATACTATAAACGTAAAATTCAACCCCCTCCCATGCCATCTCAGTGTCTTTGTCTGAGCGGCAGGTGCAGCCGAATTACTCATCATCATACCACTCCATCCCCCCTGCTCTCCGCCAGAATCCTGTGCATTCTCTCTTTCCCATCACTACTACCCCGCCTCCCGGATTCCCGCTCAGCATTAGTCTCGTAACCAGACTAGTCAGCGAACTAGCTCAGCATGCTTTCCCCGCTCCTGCGTCCATACACCTTTAAGAGATGTAGGGCGACTCTAGTCTATGATAGTTGGCACGACCGCCGGACTCGTAAAATGGTTGCGCAGTTCTTACATAAGCATGTTGCATATGAATGATTAATAAAGGAATATGATATTGCAAGCACTATCATGACTTGGTTATTTGCAATACGAATAGTATAAATAAAAACAACTTGGCACCTAGATTGTGCCTTTATCATTTATGACCAAAGTTAATTGAGGAAAAATCATCCACAGTGGTCACCATAAAGATTGAATATATAAAAGTAATTGAAGGTAATCTTTCATGGAACTTTTGCTGAGAAAATCTTTTGAGATATACAGTGTTTGAAGAAGGTGATATTGAGAGACATATGTATTAAGAAAGGTACGTACTGAGAAAGGTACATATAGGGAGAGATACTAATTAAAAACCGTATATATTGCGAATGGTACATATTTAAAAGGTATGTATCGAGAGCGGTATGTATTGAGAATGATACGTGTTGAGAATACATATTCTTATAATATACTCTTTTTGGCATCGAAAAAGTACAAAACAAGTCACCCAAGTTCAATTAATCCTCTTTTCCTGCTCAACTCAAGAGTTGGACCGAGGTCCTCAATTCTGTCCTCTCCATATGCCTTTGGTTACCTCCATCGCTGGAGACCACAGCTTCCTACCTCAGCCAAGGTTACAAGTCAGTTTGAGCCTTGGCAGGATGTTGGACCCTTTGACTGCATTGCGGTGCAACCACATCCCAGCGCACTCTCACAGCGCACTCTCGCAGCGCAGCCTCAGCACGATTTCATAGCGTAGTTTTGCAGGCTAAATTAAATTCTCATAATGGGGCCGCTCATTTGAACTGTTGGATGTGGGGAAGCTGAAGGAATTGGCATTGTGCCGGAATATTAATAGGGCAAGCTTTGTATACATAATCTCGCTGAAGAATGTTTTCGTTGAAGCCTGTTGATGTTGAAATGATATTTTCATCAAAATTTCTATGGGCACACAGAATTATAAGTGCACAAATTTCACCAATTAAACTTTGCATGTGTGAAGCACTTAGTAAAGTAGCCATTTTGTTGAATAACACTTACTTCCAAAAAGTGAATCTTAGGGCAAACTTTTGGAGCCATAAGATTTTTCTGCAACCTGAGTACCTATCAAAATATTATTAGCCTTCTATCTGCCAGTGTAAGTTCTCAAAAGAGTGTACCAGAGTTAAGTAGTATAAATAGTATAATTTGTAAATATATGAGTATGTTTAGAACTTGCTATCAATACTAGGTAGTAAGGAAATATTAGTATAAGAGTGTATATAAGGTACTTCTCCAGTAAGAATATAGTTTAGTTACATAGGCATTACTACCATCATCTTTGATATTGAAGCCTTATATGATCATTGTCTTGATACAATGTTTACAGAGGCCTTACGTAAGGATTTATGCAATGCCTACATCTGTTTGGTTGCAGTGGGTCATATCAGATATTTTAGACCTAGCATACGACGTAAGAGGTGCATTTGGAACTGGGGAAGTGTTTGTTTGCTACAATTTGTCTACGTACCTACAGATATGCAGTGCAAAAAAAAAAACAGCAACTTGAAGGTTCGTTTGCTACATTCTCATTGTGCAACGAAAAAAAAAAGAAATATTAGATCCCGCGGCCACCAATTTGTCAAACTTGTCAATTGTCTCAAGCTACTACTGCTATCACTATCACTGTCTATGCCTTCTGCATAGCACTCAATCAGCCCACCCAAAATGTGAGAAGTACGAGCAAAGTGGACCTTCCAAAGGATGCCACGGGTTTGCTGAAAAGTAGACCTCTTATAAGATTACAATGCTGATGTCCGCATAGGAGTTTTGTTGTAAAATAACAGCATGTACTCTGTTATTTCTATTCCAATTGCCAATAATAGGTCCAGAGTGAGGATATTGTGAGGGTTGAGTTCTGCCATAATAATAGTGGTGCAATGCAATGTCAATGTCATAATAGACATGACATAGTGTGATACAGTTTGCTATAGCTATACTCACCTCTGTTGGACAGTTCCAATTTTTGCGGGCGGAAACTCACAGTTTAGTTTCGTGCGAAACGACCCTAGTGAAACGTAGAAATCGTTTGGTTGCCGTACTATTTTATATCGGGATACGATCGTCGACCGGGATATGACGTTTCTTGGCACGCCTGCTGGAGATACTACATTTGGCTATATCTCGTGCAACAGACATGCTAGCAGCTTACAGTAAACAGTTATATGTACAGCATAGCTGATACTATAATTCTAGCATATTGTATTAATTCTGTCAACAATAGTTCACTTGCTATATCAATATATGCATTAATAGTGTTAAATTACCACCCCCCTCCTCAACCTCCTGCATATTATCTCTCAATAGGTCTATATCTATCTTTCCTATAGTAAGAGTTAGTCATTAATGGCTATAGTATATGATAGCATATGCAATATAGGCTAGAATAACTTACAGCTCTATTCGCGAGGCCTGAAACTAGCTGCTGCAGCTGCTGCATTTGCTGAATTATTTCCTCAAGTGTCGAAGGAGGGGGTGGTGGTGGCTGAGAGTCAGTAGCTCCAGATAATGCTGTTGACTTTACTACTATCTTATTGTCTGTATCTTTTGCAGCCCTAGTTCGTCCCCTTTTACCACTCCCTTGCCCTCTAGCCTGCCGTTTTCCTCCTTTCCCACTAGTAGTTGACCCCCCCCCTTAACTTCTAGTATATTAGTAGTAAGCCTATCTGTTGGAGTACTTTGGTTCGGACCATCTACAGAAGACTCAGGAGAGTTATTAGAGTCCGAATCAAGGTCAATATGACAATCATTCACATTTTTCTGACCCTCCAACTGTCGTAGTCGAGCAATGAGATAATTTCGATCCAGGACTCATCCAAATGATAGTTTTTTCTAACCTTGACTCAGAGTTTGTAATGGAGGTGGTAAGCGCAGAGAGTTACTGTCTGCCAGGCCAAAAAGACACTTCAGTAGTGATCCTCGCTAGTCTTCTGTGTAGCTCATATAGCACTCATTTGTACGATTGCGATGCCGTCTACCAACGTCGGCTCGCATATCGCTTGCTGCTTGCGTCGTATATGCGCATTTCGTATGCGCTTGCATTTTTCACATTTTTCGCGCGCTCCACCAGCTCCATACTACAGTCGCGGTGAACTCATAACAGCCGCCTGCCAGCGTCGGCTCACATATCGCTTGCATCGCATAAGCGCATTTCGTATGCGCGTGCATTTTTCGTATTTTCGCGCGCTCCACTGGCCGCCTACACAACTGCCAGTACTTCAGCAACTGAATTTGACTTTAACTTAGAGTGTTGAGAGCGGTGGTGAACTGGTTTGGAGGGTATATTCAGGCCTAAGGGTATATCTGGGGGCGGGGATTGTGAGCAGTGAGCCGGTTTGAGGGGCATATCTGGGCCCAGGGGTTGCGAGTGGCAAGCCATTGAGGGCATATGTTACAGCTGGGAAGGGCAATTCGGTTTAGGAAGCAAATCTGAGGTTAGGCAGCAGCAAACCAGTTCGAAAGTATTGCTATTAGGGAGTATGCATATCAACACAGAGGGAGCTGCAGCTCATGTGAGACAGCGGCTGCCGTAGATCGTGAGACATGCATCTGAGCACCCCTTGTATCACCCGTCAGTACTATTCAATAAAATCATAAAAAAATTATTAAAAGAGCAAAAAAAATAAGGAAAAATAGTAAGTTACATAAGTAAACATCAGGGAATCCAAATCTCTTCTCAGAATTCATATTCATGCAATTTTGGTTGAGCTGTGAGGGTTTTTGCTAGAGGAATCCGCTTGACTGAATGTCTCATACTCTTAGAGATATCAGCTGGGAATGAGTATATCATCTTCAACTGGTAAACTAGTATGGTCTAAAGGTGCAGATAGCCCTATATCAATCTTGTAAGCAGTTGTAGAGTGTATAACAGAATGTTCAGCCTCGGTACCTTCTATTTATTATAACTAAGTATAAATTGGTACAGCTACAGTTGCTGCAATTGCTCACTTTTAGACTTGCGAATAGAGCTTGAAGTATCCTACCCCCCTATAGCATATGCTACCATATACTATGGCCATTAGTGAGTGACAGCAGCTATAAGAGCATAGATGTTAGTACTATTTAACTGGCAATATGTAGGAGCATAAGAGGGAGGGGGGTTAAATTGACCTGTTGACATATTTATTAATATAGCAGGAGCTTGATATTGATTATAGGCAATAGAATATGTAGATAATGTTGTCCCGACATCATTGTATCTATATCACTTTATTTGATGTTACTGGCATCTAAGTTGCCAAAGATATTGTGAAAATGGTTTCTCATGAGGCATGCCAAGATGCGCGTCGTTTCTAGGTAGGCGATCGTTTCCCGATATAAAATAGTAGTTTCTACTTGAAATCTCGGCTATACGTGTTCAACCAAACAGGGTCTTAATGTATAAACATCTCGTCCCGTACACTTCAAATTGTAGTCTGCTACCACGGGGAGCCCCATCATGCAACTGCCAATCCAGTAGTTGTGAAAGCGTGCTGAGGCTGGTTACGAGACTAGTGCTGAGGCTGGACTACGAGCTAGGGTGCAAGTTTAGGATGGGCTGTGCCGAAGATGGAGTGGAGGATGCCAGATTGTCTTCCGCAGTTTGGGCGTACTTTGAGAGGAGGTGGCTAGGGACGTATGAAAAAAAATTTTTCAAAAAGAAGTCCCTTCGACCGGAGTCGAACCGGTGACCAATCGGTAATCTGAAAATTCCTTTACAGCCGAGTGTGATACCAACTACACCACAAAGGGATTTGATGTTTATTATTATCAAGATTAAATCTATGACAGCATATTACCGGGGTTTCTAGAAAACCAACCGAGGTATAGGATCACCAGTATACTAGGTAGAACAAGAGGTGATATTAGATCACATGCTGGTCTGCTTTGAATGAAAATCGGATGCTTACTGTGCTTTTGTTGTTTGCAGCTCCGACATTTCCTTGACCTATTGACCTCATTTATTTCCATGAGCGCCATAGTTTTGCAGAAAGTTTCAGGTACCAATTGATACTTACAATACCATCACTCCCTTCCGTATCAATGAAAAATGACAAACGTGCATTAGTGGATGCAAGTGGGTCTCTATGCCTGCATTAGCAGAGGAGATAATATTAAATAGGTAATGGAATAGAGCAACACCAGGTAAGCCGTAGGTCTTTAGGGTCTGGGTTATCGTATATAGTAGAGAATCATAGCGCTCCATATCAGGGTGACTGAGAATAAAAACGGGTGCGACAAGATTGCACCTGCGATTGCACCTGCGCTTATCTGTACCTCAATTGCGGTCACCACGATTTGAGACAGACCTCACGGAGAGATTGTCGACCCCGATTTCGGTATCATTTGGCCAGTGGCTGAGGCATTATCAGCAGTATTGAGAACATCCAGCGGATAAATTAACTCTACCAACGTACCCTCAAATTTACGACCACCTTTCACATAGATAACCGTTTTCCTGTAGCTGGAACATTGACGACCGAAGGGCTCAATCTCACGCTGTAGATCGCATCACGCCTTCGGATTACCCAGTTGAGACGGAATGATATACCTTTAGTCACGTTTCATGGCCCTTACATCCGGCACAGAAATTTCCTGGGCTCACCATGAAAGTAGTATACCCGAAAGTCATACTCTTATATTCAAGTTACTCATCTGTCCGAACCTCCCTCTATCCTGCTGATAGCAAGAATCTGCAAACATCTCATATGATTTCACTAAGCAAATCTTTGCCGCAGCCATATCATTCGATGACCATCCTGTGAACTGTCGGGGTAGTTTTGATCCCAGTCCTCTACAGGTGGGTAAAAAATATAATCCGGAATTGATGGCCGTTCCTCCACCAAGAACGCATCCCGCAAGCGACCCTGTAGTTGCAGAAATAGTCCCCGTGATGATCATTAAAAACACGGATTTATTAGACCTTCTAATACATGCGAGTACCGTCATTGCATTTATGAATCCATCATTGGCGAGAACCTAAGATGGAAGACCACATACGTCTGGAATAAACCAGGATCGTCAAATCTAGTGTAGTAAGTTCATTGCCTTTCATCCAATCTGTCTGGTACTCCAGAGTTCATGAAGTGTGATTAGCACAGCTCCAAGCATATTTATGAACGAAAGTGTATCCCGCTTCCTCCTGTAGCACATGTTAAAACGTTGTCACGCTCGATCAAGAGCACCTTCAAGCTTTTCGAGGATTCAGACAACCGATCAGTAGCTGTACGCATTCAGCGAAATGTAATTATGCTGAATTGTACCATTTCCGTAAGCTCAGACAGGTACTCAACAATCATACCTGCTGGACCTCCTGCAACAACTATGTAATCGTATTCAGTATTGAAATCAGCTGTTTCCCTGGCCCACGTCCCACTTGATATGGAGACAGAGGAAACTGCTCCGCAACCACCGCGCCTAAGAAAACCCACAGATCGATGCCCCAAACAATGACGGATAATAATGTTGTCAAACCACAGGCAAAACGACCCAGGTGGGAGCCAGATTACATGGTGAGGTATAAGAATTTCTCTGGACTGCATTGTATACTGGTATCTACAGCTTACATACCACATGTAGTGGCAATTTGTGGGGTCCTCGATCTTACAAGAACGTAAATTATAGTCTGTCGCGGGCATTCAGGTTGCGTAGGCTTGAATATCATGTGGAATTCCAGTCACTTGAGATAAGCTCCGGCTTCCTTGCCTCCCTCGAGCTCTGATATCGATGTCATAAGCTTGTTGCTAGAATGGCATCTCAGGACCCTTATATGTATGGACCAAGAACTGCAGCGACAAGGGTCTTGGCATGACACTATAGAAGTTTGCAAGCTTGCAAGGAAACCTACTAACGTACCAGTTTCAAACCGCAAGAGTCGGTCCTAGTTTATACTTGAAGCCACATATTCGTAGTCTCACTCTGACCTTCTACTATAATACTACTGAAATCATCCTCTATATAAAAGTATTTGACACGAGTGGCCTTCTTGAATTCAATTTCGAAATGTATTATCACTTCACTACTACTAGTACAGTATAAATACCTTAGTGATGGACCAAGTGCCGTCTGGCCAGCTACTTTCGACGCGACGGGCGCCGAGAATACTCACACTGTTACATGCCATTCTCCAGTTAAAGCACAAGCAGCCGTGTCTTGTGCAACATAAGCATAGGCTTACGAGAATCATCTCCACTGGCAGGAAACATGGGGATTTGATTTCAATAAAACATAGTGAAGGGGCTGGATCAACCATACAGCGGCTAACGATTTCTGACGTCACATTTTCCGCACCTTAGGGATACTCAATTTGTTGAACGACACGCCAATAGATACCTTTGGCCAATGTGTCGACCTATCGATCAATCTTGCGGAGTTTAAATTGCTGGATAGTTGAACGCATTCACCAATGTGGCGTGGACCTGAAACATTCATCAATGCATTGGTAGATGGTTCGAATGGTATACCAGTTGCCTAGATTGGTGTTCGTCCATCTGAATGAGCTGAACTATACAGCAATGCATTATTGGATAGGTTGACCCATATCAGTTTTGAGCCGATATGGCAATTTCAACAAAAAAGTGGCAGGTTTGTCACGTACGCTACAGATTTCGCTCATGAATCTCCACTGGGTTTGCGACACCAGACTATTATTGTAGGCTCATCAATACCTTCTAAACTGGGAAGGAACTCACAAAAGGAAGGATATTTTATGTGAAATTCCGAATAGTATACGCCCTGGCTGTTAATATCACTGACGTTTGCATAAACACCCCGGTTACCGAAAACGTGAAGCAGTGAAGCGAGAGAATGTTGATAGAGGCCCAAAGAAGCCTTGTGTGATTGGAGTTGGGGCCAGGGAACGACTTCGAGCTGGGCTCAGACAGCAGATTATATATAGGACTGACACCTTCACTAGGTGAAAGGGAGAGACTGGAATTTTCTCACGCCAAATCCTGAGGCATCAAATGTTGTTCAGGGCGGGCAGCTACGTTGATTTCATGGATGGTTTTAACGTGGATTCCCTAACGCGAATACTCCCGAGTATGTTCGGTGAATGCTTTTCTGGTTGCACTACCCCCTCGTAGAGGTAACATGCAAAACTAATGGTAGAGAAGGAGTGACAACCACTGGGGTGGGGGGAGGGGGGAGACAAAGCGCTCTCAATGGGTAGAGAACATTTACTGTTTGGGTTGAGATATGACATGCCAAATGTAGTTCTGGCTATCACCCTAGCTCCACAAGGGTGACTACTCCCCGTGAAGAACTCGGGGGTTCCTCAAGTATAGTCATTATCAAGTTACTCCGTGAGGCATAACATCAAGAGCGACATTCACATAAAAGCCGTGGGAGAGTTGGTTAACCTAACTTTTATTACGTATATTAGGGGGTTGTACTTCCGTTGTGACATAATCTTAAGCCCACATAAATAGGCTCCGGTCTCGAGACCCTATTATCAGCAGGAATCCCATCCTCCACCAAATCCCGCCTATTATCAGCAGGAATCCCATCCTCCACCAAATCCCGCCTATTCACACTTGAATCTGTTCCTCCTCCTTTCCGTGCGCGCTCACATGCCATCCCACGACCTCTTGGCAACCTCCAAATCCCCAAATCCTGCACAGCTAATGCTTGGACATGTGCTTTTGCCCGCTTCCGAGCAGCCCGTTCCTTCATTATACATTGTGCAACCCAGCCAAGAATAAAAGCGCCAATAAAGGCAATCGCCACCCCGGTCCCCATGGCAAGTCCAGCTCGCCCTCGCAACGCACCTACTTTTCGTGCTGCAAGTACAACGCTGCCTGTAATTGAATCCTGTGTTGTCGATAAATCTGGAAGATTTTCGAAAATGGCAATTGAGGATGGTGGAATGGACGTAGGAATATACATCTTGAAGGAATGTAGGGGTGCACTCTGGGGGTTGGTACGAGACAAATGTTCTTGTGTTTCGTGTTGGTGAGTTCAACTATATGTCTCCTTATAGTCTTGTCAAGAGTCAATCGGACGAAAACGAACAACCAAGTGCACCCAGAGGTGATTCAGCTTCGGACTTACACTTGCATGGCGCTTGCTAGACGGTATCGTCCGTTCGCTACCTTCGTGATTAATGGTGAGTTTGCCACACTCTATTGCTCGGTTATGTTTTCGGGCAAAGTGCTGATAAGTCAACACCTGCAATAAAGACCTTTATATGGACGAGATGGATAATTATAATAGTTGAGACAAATCAGCTGAACAGGTCGTTGCTGGGAGTATTCTCAATGCGTCGAGGTTGCCTTATATATTAGTTACATAACTGACGCCGGTTGTCACCTACAAAGGCAAAAGAGCAAATGGCTTTTGAATTCTGTTAGAATCGATATCACTTATCGGAACAAGAGCTTGAAGTAACCCAAGCCTTGATGATCACCTGAAAGTACAGTATGATCCCTCGAATAGATCTGCATATAGTGAACGAGATGAGCTTGTCCAAAGGCCGTCAACATCGACATACGCAACGGTACACACGGTTCGGCATTCATTCCCGTAAATGCTGTCTCGCGCAGATTACTCAAATCATTGTGGTTTCTTGTGACTTACGCAACCGGTCGATGCCAAATTCGCCTACAGGTTATGGCCAGAGGCCGGGTGGCCGGCAACAGCGCGTTTGTGCGTTGTGAGGATGCGTCGTCAGCCTAACGGGAGGTGTCAGATGTGCATAGAGTGCGTGCTCAGTACTCTACAAGAACGCGGAGCAATTGCAACCATCTCTGATT